GTCCCGTTACCTCCACCCTCTCCTCTCCTCCTATTCCTCCCTTCCAAAATTACTTACCGCATACTCTTAAAAGGTACAATATTTTTTTTTCACGCATGTGGCATATGTTTCTGTATCTGCACAAAACCTGGGCTTGCAAAGTGGCATACTTTGCGAAAAATTGCGATGGGCGATTTTTACTATCTTTTTATCGTTACTCAAATAATCATTCGGAGAAAATAGCTCACGCATTTTATTTTGCTCGTATCTCAGCCCGCCCATATTGTGCAAATAGGCAACCCATATAATGTACAGTCCACATACAAGCGATTCTGCACCCTGTATTCGTCTAGCTATATTGGCAAAGCGCATTTCTTTTCGTAAGAATTAGCTAAAGTCTTAAAATGAGAATAAACACTAGGATGCAAACCATAACTATCACAATAGGTTAAGTAATCGTATTTTTGGGCAAAATAAACCCAATGACCCATAGGGTCTATGTCCTCTTGTGATAGATTATTTAAAAACCCGAAATGCAAGCGAGATTCGGGTGTCCCAGGTAAACCGAATCAAATCTTTCGGCCGCTCCTCGCAAATCCTATTCATCTTTCGCGTTCATCCCCGCGCATCTACCGTGACCGAGATGCTTATCTAATTGCAAAACATCCTCAGCAAACAGTAAACAAATATTTTTTCTCTACTCTATCTATCTGGTGTGAACATATGCCTGAACCAGTCACTGAAAATGACTTTGGGACAAGTCTCTGGGACTTTGAACCTAGATCAGACCGCGCAAGTCAAGCTAATCGACATGTGCAAGATAATGCTAACAAGACCTGCTTGGTGACAGACGTCACTGCGAAAATAAAAATAAAAAATGTCAAAGTATCAAGATCTTCAAATCGTTGAAAATTATTATTGATATCAGATATTGTCGGTGTTCTAAGCCTTGTCAACAAAAATTCATGTGACTTTTTTTTTTATAGAAATCACAGCATCATTCAGATTCCTATCATACAAAAGATGGCACTGAAATGCCCTTTCATCCTAGGTGCCATTCTTAACTTACAGCTGCTCAAGGGGAAAATGGTGATGATAGTAATAATAATATTATCATGATAATTAATGTTAATGTTAGTATTATTTTTACAATTTTCATGATGATACTACCAATATTAGTTAGAGTAAAAATAACAATAAAAGTCATAGTAATGATAAGAATAAGGATAATGATAGTAATAATGATAAAAAATTTAAAAAATATATTATGATTGATGATGATTATACTACCACTGCTAATAGAAGTAGTAGTAGTAATAGAAGTACTATGGAAGTACTTCAAATTCGGTAAAAGTGACAAATAGTAAAATGTTCAAAAACACATTCCAGTGTGATCTTAGGATGAGACCTGGCACACTGCAGTCATTATGGAGAGATTTCATGATAGGCTTATTTATTTATTACGTTGTGCGTCGTTGATCCTAATTCTGAAATTGTATTAATTCGAGGACAACTGACGCGCATTTTGTGAGGTAATGAAGGAGAATGCTGTATTATGATGAAGTCAGTGAACTTGGGTGAAACATAACAGATCAGATTCTCAGTCTGCGCGGCGAGGCGTTACCTGAAGGTTCTCAAAGAAAAAAATCTACAGTGATAACAGAACTGTGTACTAATACGTAACAATATCCAAACATACAAAATCATGTGATAATATTGTGCTTAATGCAGGTGATGGTTACGCTCAAGCACAAATAACAGTCTTAACATATTCAGGTAAGTCTATGTTTCTAACATTATATAAACATTTCTAGCGTCAGCATAAGATATACAGTACATGGATGTATTCCTTCGTTTGTATTATTTAAGGTATATCTGGTCCACTTACAAAACTTGTTTATGCAACTGCAGTTCCCAAAGAGTCGCTCGACCAAAAGGTGAGGCCGATCAGCAGCTCATGCGTGTGAATGCGGACGAGTTTAATATGTTTTCTTCTGGCCTGAAACACGTCGGAAATTGCATCGTCCCTTTGTCGAATGCCGTCAAAATACTTTACCTTGTATCACATAAACTGTGAGAATGGTTGGATAGTTTCATAGCGTATGGTTCTTGACATGAGTGTGACGTCCGCTATGACGTAGTAAGACCATTACACAGCACAGCAAAGGAATCCATCGTCAAGTGTCTACGCCAGTTATAAGTGTTTTGTTGATCCACGCCCTCCTGTCCAAGGCCTATGCGTGTCCACTTATTCATTTCTCTAGATCATAGTATTAATAGCAATTGAGTAAGAAAAATAACGGAAATAAAATAAGTAAGGGTAAAGGCTTGACCTGATTTCATGCAAGTAAATAAATTGATGATAACTGTACGTAGCAATACTTTAAGCCGCGTCCCTTCCGCGCAAATGATCTCTTTCTTTGTTCCCACGGCGCCTCTCGGTTACTTGGTCCATCATTCACATTGTTTCATTCTCTTTTTGTGTCTATGGCTTTGAAGCGGCTACTGACATGATGAAGAA